AGTTTTTAATATTATTATTCAATTAAGGTTTGTAAAATATCAAAAGAAAAATCTAGAATCATCTGATCAGCATTCCTTACTTAATAAGATGTAATTGTTAATGATTCAAATTTAGTATATTTCCTGATTGTAATATATCTTACTACTAATATCCTCTTTTATCATTATAAATGGACAATTGCTCTTCTCTTATAAATTTTAAAAGATCTCTTTCCATTCATAGAGAATGGGCTTTTTATAAGAATAAAAAATTATAATTAAATTCCAACCAAAATTATCATTTAAAATTTAATAAATTTAAAAATTAAAAGAAAAATAAAATCAAAAAAGAAAAAAAAAAGCTACTGTATATTTCTAAAAATAAGTATTCCATAATACATTCCTTTTATAGTAATTTATTTATTTGTCACATAGAATTTATTATATTATTTGTCACGTATATATTAATAAATTCATATATATCACACAATACTTATTTTCAGAGAAATAAAGTAATTATATTCTTTTAAAATATTATGTTAAAGTAGCAGATAAATTAATTAAATTAAATATATGTAGTTCCTATGAAATTTATTATTGATCAATTTTTATCATTAATTAGTATAACATTAAATTAGAAATTTATTTCTTTTCTATTAAAAAAAATCCCAAGTTTTTAAGATTTAGTAACTTGTTTTTTAAGAATATTTGATAATATTTTATAAAATAATAGTTCTTAAAGTAGCTCTTTATTATTTTCAAATTGTAAGACTTTATTAAAAAAAGAAAAGTATCACATGAAAAGATATTTATTTGAAATATTTTCATAATATTGAAAAGAATAATCAAAGAAGAATTCAAATTTATGAAAATATGAAAATATATTAATTATTAGAAAACTTCTTATAAAGATCAATTTTAATATAAAGGTTATGAAAATTGATCAATAGTATATTTTTATAAAGACTACATATAATATTATGTATATCACATGATAGATAAGTCATAGCCACAGTTACAGTTTATTTTTTATTTTAATTCATTTTATATAAAAGTAGATTTTATTTAACTTCTTAATACAATTAAATATATTTGAATAAACTTAAAATTTTTTAATAAATTTTTTTATTTAGAAAAAAATATTTTTTAACATTTTTTTTTCTTTCTTTTAGGTTTTCAAAATTTCAGTTAGGTAAGAAGTTTGAAAATGATTAAGTTTTTTTGTAAAACTTATCAATATGCTTTTTTTAAATAAACATTTATTTTTTCAAATTTTATTTAATACTGGATATTGAAAAACAATAAATTTTAAAAAAAAATTTACTGATTTTCTTTTTAATAAGAAATATTTTATAATTTTCCTTCTTTTATTTCTTATAAATTACTAGAATTTTGATTAGATAAAAAATTAGAAATAATAAATTTCTTTATAAAACTTATTATTATATTTTATTTTTTTAATAAAAATTATTTTCTAATATACCTTTTTATTTCTTATAGATTTTTATATTTTGTTTAGTACTGAATATTAAAAAATAGTAAATTTTGTATTAAATATATGAAACATTATTTTTTTGAAAAAGTTTTCTAACATTTTTTTCATTATTTCTTTTGTAGATTTACTTTCTTTACTTTGAAATGATGAATTTCATATAAAATGTATGAAATATTATTTATTTTTTATTATTTTAATAAAAACATCTTTTAATATTTCTTGTTTCTTCTTTTGTAAATCAATTTTAAATTTTATTAAAATTCGTAAAGGAGAAAAATTTTCTTTTTTATTAAAAAAAATATTATTTATATAATATTTTATTTTTTTATAAGACTTAGTTTAACTTTAAACTTTATCTTTTAGACTTCAGCTCTTGGACTTTAAATTAATAGAAATTCCTTATTTTGTTTTTAATTTTATTACTAATGTAAAATTTTTTTAAAATTTAGATGAAGACTTAAATACTTAAATTTAAAATCAAAAGTTTATAGTAAAGAGTGATTTATTTATTTATTTTTTTGTTAAAAAAAAATTACTAATATAATGTTTCTTCTTTTTATATTCAACTTTAAGCTTAATTAAATTTTGAAAAACTATTTATTTTTAATAAATAAATACAATTAATGTGATTATTTATTTTTTATAGGTATTAGTTTTTAGCTTTAGTATTGAATGAATAAGTAAGTTTTAAAAGAAACTCTTAATTTTTTTAATATAAAAATATTACTAATATAATATTTCTTTTTTTTTTTAAATTTTGTTTTGAATTTTAGGTTTCAGAATGGTAAATTTTTTTGAAACTCTTTGATTTTATTAATAAAGAAATGTTATTAGCATAAAGTTTCTTTTTCATTTTTAAGTATTAGCAGTTTTTTAATATTGACAGATCTATTACTCTATTTTATATGATCTGATTAGTATATTATGTAAGACATTTGAAAAAGATAAGTAAATATAAATTTTATTAAATACATTTTTATGATATAATGATAACTTAATAATACAAAAATTTTTATAAATACTGATCTTTTCTTTTTTTCTATATCATATATTTATTATGTAAGTACCAAAATATTGCATAATATAATAAAAAAATTAAAATTTAAATGATTCTTTAATATTTAAATTATGAAATAAATAGCAAAAAATAAATAATAGTATCAGCCTTTATAAAAAGGTTAGCATATTCTTTACATACAATAAAAATATTACAATTTAAATATCAAATATATATTTTTAATATATAATAAAATATTACATTTATATTATATTATAATATATTTGACATATTTGTAATATATGTTAAAAATATTACAAATTATATTTTTAATATATTTTTGATATTGAGTTAAAATAAAGTTAACATAAATAATCATACTATACATTTAATATATGTTAAAAATATTTTTAATATATTTTTCAAAATGACAGATTTTTGGAAAGTATTTATATAAACTATATTTGAATTATTTAGATTCAGAAAATATATTATTAATTAAATACCAATTTCATTTACAAAATATTAGATGCTCAGAAATTGATAATAATAAATTAATATACCTATATTTTAGCATCAGAAAGTAATCATTCACTGGCTGTAAATATTGTTGGAATAGCTAAATACTTTTTTATTAACTATGATAAAATCAAAAAATTTGATAATTAAGATGCCTACCATTTGAAAGAACAAGTATTTATATCAACTTCTTCAATTATCATATATTTTTAACTTCATCTTATCTTTTATGATAATAATAATTGGAAAATATATTTTAAAGAAGTAAACTAATAGGTAGTTATGATGTTTTCTATTAAATTATACCTAATTATTGCTTTTTTTCATTATAAATTACTTTTAAAGATCCTTTGTTTGATTTTTTTTGCAAATTATCTATAAAATTAAGAGATTTATATCTAAAGTCTAATAAGATAATAATCATTCCTATACATTTCAATAATAATTTATTACTGTTATTAATGATAATTTATATGTATTACTAAATGATTGCACCAATTAAAGTTACTAATAATTATTATAAAAACTGTAATCATCATTTTTACCAATTTCATTACTATTACAATTATTATTATTATATTTAATATAATTATTTTATTATTTATCATTATTTTATTTATTATATTTATTATTATAGCTATATTTATTATTTTTACTTTATTAAATATCTCTTTTTATAACTGTATTTTATATAAATATCTTATATTGCCATCTTAAAAAAGGAATAAGTTCATATCTTACAATCGAATAAAGTATAATTTTTTCACAATATAAAACTCATATCTTTGCCAATATCTCTTTCTTAAACATAAATCATCAATAAAATGACTTAACTTTTCAACTTAATAAATTTGTATTTATTTCTTTCATAATTTAATGTTTTAAACTCTCTGTTAATGAACAATCTTTGTTATTCTAATGATATATTATTTAAGCTTAATACTGTGTATAAAGCTAATTTAATTCTTTTAATTAAATTCTTATAATTTTTATTAAAATTCTCGCTGTTTAGATAATTATTAATTTTATCACTACCATCAGGCAGTGATATACATTTTTGATGCTTCAGAGATCTGTTATCTCAGCTATATATCCTAACTTATCCTACATTATGTCTTAAATGTCCTATCTATCCCATCTATATCTTATTAGCATTCTATCAATGTTCTATTAATGTTTTATGATAATATTGCCATTAGGAATTTCATTACCAATATTATCATCAAAGATTGTAGTATAATTATTAAGATCAATATCTGCAGGTTCTATGTAATAAAAACTATAAATCCCATTTCTAATTTCTGTAATTGCATTATATATAAAACTTATCATTACATATTTATTTCCTTCAAAAAGTTCAATTCTTAACGCAAAAGGTTTCAGTACTTTAATTAGAAGGTAAGTGTTTTTACATAAGGAAATTTTAAAATTAAAATGATAATTAAAAAAAAATTTTTTTTGGTTATTTTTGTCATTATTAAGGAAAGCTAATAGTTGACTTATTAAAAAAAATTCCAGTTGTTTTTTTTCTAAACTTTGAAATTCTAAATGTCTTTCAAGAAAAGCAACTTCTTTAAACATTTTTCTCTTTTATTACGGCAAGTACAGTTAGCAAAAACAAAAAATTGTTTTAAGTTATTAATAACTGCTTGCATAAATTCATTCATTCTTTTCATATTGTTCCAAAACAACATTGTCCAAAGAAAAGGTTAAGTCATTTTCTTTATCGTCAAAGTTATTAAAGTTACACATGATCGTACAAGATTAAAAAAATTTTTTAAAATTTTGTATCACATTCATTTTTTATTACATTTTTGTTCTAAAAATAAACTGTAAACAATGACGTAATTTTATGTCGATCAAATTTTAAGTTCTAATTTTCTCAAAAAGTAAAATATTTTTCAGAGGGGCATTTTGCTAGTCCATGACCCATATATATCCCAAAGTTCCATATTACAAAAAAAAATTCTTCCCCGTTTGTCCATTGTCATACAAATAAGAACGTACAAAATGTCTACATTTACGATTTCTGGAACGCCTATCGTACTTTGGTGTTGGGTTCGTGGAAGTACTTCTATTTTCGACATTACTGTAGGAAGGGATAACCGTGTTTCTAAAATTAAGGAAGTTATCAAAGAGAGGAAACCAAATGATTTTGCTAAAGTTGACGCCGATAGACTTAAGCTGTTGAAGCTTAAGAACCCTGTTGGTGACGGACATATTTCCGATATTCAAAACTTCACATTTCAAGATAACGGTGACGAGAATGACAATGTAGTTTTAATGAAGGACATGCGGAGAATTGTTACTTACTGGCCTGAAAATCAAGCACCGCCCGAAGATCTCATTCATGTTATCGTAGAGGCACCTGGTGAGTCATAACAAATCTAGCAAACGTGACATAGCATGTCTTTGTCATATTCGCAAATAATAACAAGTACTTACTTAATTTTGTGCTTTTCTTTCCTGCTTCTTATCGCCAAACACCGCCCAAAATACACACTCACGTTATCGTAGAAGCCACCAGTAAGTGTAATAACGCAAGTGAACACAGGCTTTGATAGCTATTACCGTTTTACGTTGTGTCATCAATAGTTCATTATTCCAACCTATACTGCTTTTATTCGCTGTCATGTCATTTTTTAACTTTTGTCTTGCATCACGGAATTAAGCAACAGAAGAATTGAGAGCACAATTGGAGGCGCTTAAACTTGGTCGTGAACTTGGTTATGGTAGGTGTCCTTTTTTACCATTGATTACCCGTGAGCGAGCACTCAACCATTGACAACTCATTTATTTCCAATACCTCCAGACGGAGCACTTTTTCAATCAGATTTACCTTTAGAGTCGGAAATTAAACGGATAAAGCGCGAAAAAGGTTACCTTTTCTTTTTCAAGATATCAAAGTTGAAATCCATGGCTTATTTCTTTTTTTCTTTCATCACAGAATACAGGGAACCTGTTAATATTGGCCTTAAAGCGAAACCCCCTTCGTCTGGTGCCAAGCCTTCTACCTTTTTCACGACTCAAATAAATAACCCAATCCTTAATGGTCGACCGCTTGAACTTACTGGTCCTCCTATTAGTATTTACAATAGAAACTTTACACAATTCCTTGAAGATTTTAATAATATGGAACTGGAAGTACCTCATGAAATTTTGGAGTGGGTCATGGATATTATTTCCGCATCAGCAGACAGATATTTAAACGAAGATGGACGTATGAAGAAAATGAGAGAGATACTTTCGAAAAAATTTGGCACTATAGCATTGACTAGTTACGGGAAAGGTTGCCAGTGCGATGGATTACTTATGGCTAAAGTAGGCCTTCTCGACGCTTGTATTGGGATAATCGAAGGAAAGAATGAGATTGGATCAGGTGGAACTGATCCCAGTCTTCAAGGATCAATTTATTACCGAGATTACTGGTCTCAGACAGTAGTATGTTTAATTTTTTATTCCTTAATTACTGCTGTACGAATTCATGTGCTCATGTGATATCTTCCATTTAGGTTAAACAAATTCGAGATTGCTGTTGCGTACCATCCTTCATTATCACCATTGCCGGACCATGGATTTGTATATTCGGAGGCATCTTCCTTAACAGGGTAGTGGTCCAGCCACTAACAGATATCATTCCTCTTACAATCAACGTACGAAATGAAGACCAAATGAATCGGATTGCACGCCTTTTTCAGGCGTTACGACTTGCTTTAGTACGACTCGGCAATTTTTACAATAATTTAGACTTAACTCTACTTAGACAGGTAGAACAGAGGCATTTTCCCTATCTTCGAAGTTTTAAATTAGATAATAAAAATGTAAATTTTATCTACATCAAAGAGCTGGAAGATGATCACACAAGAAATATCTGGAAAGCTAGAACAATGAATATGGAGAATAATTATGATATTGTCGTGAAATTTGTGAAAAATTACAATATGACAGCACATAATATCTGCAGTGGAAAGGGTTATTCCCCGAAACTATTATACCAAAGCTCTAAAAATGAATTCCTAGCTCTTGGAAAATATAGGATGATTATTATGGAATTTGTTGGTATCTCGCTGGATAGGAAACTTAATCAACGCGAGATTAGATCTAATAATATTATTTATGACGATGTTAAGTTTGCAATAGAATTGTTACATTCAAATAACTATGTGTTTGCGGATCTCCGTCTTCCAAACATTCTAGTGTATGATGAAAATGAAATACAACGAGCAATGCTCATAGATTTTGATTGGTGTGGAAAGCATGGAGTGGATAAGTATCCGTCATCATTGAATATTTCAATACAGTGGCCTACAAATGTGAAACCTGGCACCTTCCTTATGAAAGAACATGATATTTATTGGCTTGGAAAGTTGCAAGAGCGTTTGAGGTACAGTATTTTTTCATCTCCCCACTTGTTCATCTTTATGTGCATAAGTCTCACATTTTACTCCTTCATTATTCAGCCAATCGATAGATTTATTAGCTTAATGCATGTTTTGCATTATATAATATATCTCAAGAATTTTTCTTAACTCGTGATATTAATTAATGTTTCTGTTTTATAACTTTATCATATAATCATGACAAGCTGTCACAATCTATGCAAAGTTTCACCTACATCGGGCTTAATTTTTTACACTGAATGCGTGTATGTGCATCGGAATAATAAAAATGTTTATACACTGGTTTCATATACATAAAGCATTTTATTGTATAACATTTATTGCATTTAGACACTAACCAACATATTTTTGATCAAAAAATTTTTTCAGCAAACTGAGTTCGCCCAAATTCACGTGTTTATTTTTTGTATATACGTATGAAAGTGCTTGAATCTGAGATTATCTTAAACATGAGAATGCTAGACTTATGGCTAAGATTACTGGGCTTGAGTCTGATAAGGCCAAGATTTTAAAGCAGGTTATAGAAGAGAGAACTGCTGAGAAGGCCGAGCTCAAGAGTAGTTGGAGAAGAGTAGGACGGATACTACTGCTGAGAATGCTGAGCTTAAGGCTATAGTTGTGAAGCTGAAACAAGATTCTAGACAGCCACAGAATGATGCACACTTTGAGGAAACTAAATGGTTACACAGAAATTGACCAATATGACATGACTTCAGATAACAAAAAAAGGAATCTCAATTTTAGACTCTGAATTTCAACTTCAGATGAGAATCGATTTCAATTATTCTCAAAATATCACATTTATTTTTCCTTTATTAATTTTTACTTCATGTAATTTTATACCGAACTGTTTTTTACCCAACCTTAACTCGAAAAAAAAAAAAATAAATTAAAAAATGTTCGTAGACGTAAAATTAAAACTATTTGAATTTTAACTATAGTAGCATACGTAATTCAATGTCAGATTAGTTATTTTAACCTACAATCAAATTATCCGGACTTTTCCCTTACCAATTATTGGAAAATTGTGAATGATTTATCAGCAACAGAAACATGCAAGGGGATGTGTATGAAACTTATAATTAAAGTGCACGCCATGTTGTGATTATATTAGTATAACAGGAAAGTTTGTTGAGGACATTTTCGGTTAAAATACAAATTTTATCATGCGTAACGCATGTTCTGAAGTTGTTGATGAACTGGATTGATTAGATACAAATGGAATAGTATTAATCAAGATCTAGATTCTTGGGCATTTCATAGGAATTCTTGTTCCTAAGTTCTTCTACTCTATAGTTGCTGTCAAAACTCATTTTAGCAAATGGCAAAATTCGAAACTCTGATTTGTTAATAATTCTTTTAATATAGATTTGACTTTGGACGGGATTTTATTATGGTTCGAGTTACGACGCTTTTGCCAATAAGATTTTATTATAGTTTTGCCAATGACCCCAACAAAACCCGAGAGTTTTGCCAGACAATTATATTCTACACCATCATTCTTTAGTGAATCAATTAAATTGACAAGTTTATGACGAAATCTTTAAATATTGAAAGATCATGGAAAAGTTAGGGACCCAGTTTCAATTCCCAATTGGATGGATGCTATTGTTGTCACAAATTCTACGGCGAATTATTCATTCAATAATCTCTAATTTATTTTTTCTGATAAAAAAAAGCATATCACGCACAAAGTTAGAATGATGATGTTGTTGGCAAGAACTTGATCCACAAGTTCTTACTGGAATATCGATGAAATCTTTCATGAAAACAGAACTTGGATATTATTTACATTTAATGCAAATGTGGTTTCAGTTTTTTTAGTCTTACATCACTAGAATAAAATTAGGTTCGAAGCAGCTACTATTTTAAATATAAATTCACTAATTATTACTTTATTTTAAGATAAGATGAAATAAAGATTTTTAATGAAATCGAACAAAAGAAATCTTAATGTTAATTAAATAAATGGTTAAATTCAGTAATTAATTATATTAATTGATTTCATTTGAACTCAATTTTTTTTATTGAAGTATTAACTGAAACCGAAAATATATTAAGGAATTTTTATAATTATTGAAGATCTCCAAGTGATTTATCGAAGAGAAACAATAAATCGCAATTGATCGGTATATCGTATTGTACTGTAAGTTCAAAATTAAGAATCCAAATAATAATTATTAACAAAAAGTATCTGTAATAATAATGTAAGTTATATGAAATGCACAGGATTATTCGGATAATAAGAATTATTGACGAATACTTTAAATGAATAAATAAAAGCTTGACTTTTTAAGTGCTTCGAGTTTATGACTATGTGAGATTATTATATTATGAGTACTTTACAGTAGAAGGGGTGTACAATTCTCTTTGAAAAACTTATGATTTACAAAAGCGAGATCATCTAGGCGAAAATAATAAGTGCTAGAGACGCAGTCGATTCGTTCATATTTTATACTTTCGGGTTCTTACGCATCGGGCCGCTATGATCGAATTATTTTAAAAAGTTATTCTTTATAATTGCACAGTAGTGCGGCTATGTGCGCGTGCACATGAATGTTGAATTTCCGCACGTTTCAAAAAAATATTTGTGCGCGGTCCGCACTTAACATTTAATTTATAATATTTGCGCACTATTCATCACAATTTTCGCACATATTCTCATCATACTAGTGTGCATTTTCCGTATATATGTTTAGGTTACACTGCTTGGATCATTTCGGAAGTAAACGTTGTGATTTGATTTTATTTTCGAGATCGATTGGGATCAAAGATTTTATTTTATTTTTTAGGATTTTCTTTCGAGATGGTACGCTTTTTTTTTCGGTTTTTTGTTTCTCAAAATGGTTATTTATTCTTACTATATTATTGTATTCTTACTGCGCATCTAAATATATTCGATTTTGGTTAGAAACGATTCCATCCCCTAATACGATAGTGCACTAGTAATCAATGAAAATATGATTCTCAAAAATAAAAAAAAATTTTTTATTTGAAAAAAGTATTCATAATAATATTGTTTAAACTAATTTTAACATATCACTTTTGTACACTTCATTAAAATTGAGAAATGCTTGGAACGAACATCAACATCTCGAATAGCATTGTTTGTTTCTAAATTTTTTTGACTTATAGCATGAACAGCATGTTACCGTACCGGTATTAGTCTAACATTTAACTAAATAAATTAACGACAAAATTAAGGTCCTTTTCTTCCTTTTCTCAAGCACGTTCTAAATTAAAGATTTAATTCAATATCTCAATAAATCATTACATAAAAGGTCAGGTGCGACATGAAAAAAAATGTTTATTTGCTTGTCATACATTTATCGAGAATTTAATTGGTTAAAATTAGGTCCTATACTAGACAAGTCTGAATTCACTTCATCTTCATCAACTACGAATTAAAAAGAGATATAGAAATATCAATAATATGTCTTCATTAATTTTATGGTATCCTGATATACAGTATCACGCAATTGAATTCTGGTCTCTTCTCTAACGGAATATCAAGGCAAAATTTCGATAGTTTACACAAAGTGTTTGAAGCATAATCACGGAAAATGTATGATCGAGATGAGCAAATTTAATTAAAATTTATTCGAAGGAAAAAAACATAAAATTAACGAAAGTTTCTAAACAATCTTTTTTCTTAAGATAAGCATATAAGGTTTTTAAGTAGAATGAAAACAATTTAGGTTTTGAATTTTCAGACCATTAATTTTACCTAATTAGTTGAAAAGATTCAAACCATCCCGTGTTATCTTGAAATATTTCTTAATACATTTTTGAAAATAGAGCTTATTCAGAAGGTATAAATAACAAGTTTGAGTATTAGTTTGTGATTTATAACAATATCATGCTGCGCCTTAGATGACATCACTGTGAAAAATAAAACGAAAGTGATATGCAACATCTAAGTTATTTTCATAACATTAATTGCATAATACTTATCTTATTTTATTTAGTTTCATTATTTATCTTGTATAAGTTATTTTCCTTACATGTATTATTTATTATTATTGAAATTCGTAGTATAGTAATAGTTAGTAATTTTGTATAAATAGACCTGTAGGTTGACCTTGAGTCAGACAGAGTTTTTCCAAAGAAGTTTTTGGATATAAGTTTTGGGACTAGATTATAACTATACAGATTAATAAAGCTTCTTTTTGTCTACTTCATAGAATTGATCGTGATAAATAAACAAGTGAATCGCAATAATAAATCGTTTGTTTGTTAATTGTCTCTTAGGAAAGGCCTTCGAGATACTTGAGTTATTAATATATTTAGTTTGTTAGCTTGATTTGGTACAATTCCGGGTCTAGGCAGTACTCATAACTGACCAGAGTTAGTAAACATTATTGCAATCATTAAAATCTTAATTCTGGCCGAAATTGAATTTCGGCTGATGTTAAATTCATCTATTTAACTGATACTGCACTAACTGATATTAATTAGTTCAGCACAAATCTTTCTTTATAGTATATCTAAAATCTGCATATTTACATACGATTATTTTTGTTTAGAAAGGAATGCTGAAAAGCTTGTACCATTTTGCTTAATCTTATGTGAAGTTTATTATTTTCCATTTATTTATTTTTTGCGCTATTGAATTAACAAACAAACAAATTCATTTTTTGGTTTGGTTCAGTTGTAAATGAGATTTTGACTTTCTGACGTTCTATTTATTGGCTTATGCTTCATGCTTCATGATGAGAAAGTATTTTTGAATTTTGTTTCCGAAAATATTATTTTAACCTAATCTGGTTTAAAAATTGATTCATTTTTTTCTCTTAGCAATGATAAAGAAATCAGCTTTTGGCTGCATCTTTGGTGGTTTTTTAAAATTGTGCACCCTTCTATTTTTTTGATGATGGTTTCTGTGATATAAGGTCAGTTATTTTTAAGTTTTTGCATATATACATATATTTTTATTTGATCTGGATTCAGTCGCTTCGGAGCGCAACGATCGAACGGATTTCTTTTTAAAAAATTTAGTACCCTTCCTTTTCTTTAGGTTCTACTTCGGTTTGGATTCAGATGATCGAGATGAACAAGTAAAACCAATAAACTTTCAAAAAAAAC